CAAACCAACCACACGTGACAGTTTTTAATTAAAGTAGCATTGGAATGACATACTATGAAGACAGGCTAGAACTCAAAGTTTAAAAGGAACCTCTATTTTGAATATTTAACTCTCTACACGTAATGGTATTTTTTGGGCAATCATACCTCTTTGCTTTCATGGAGATTTACAAGTAAACTATCGGGTGTAGGCAGGAAAATATCTGCAGGCAGAACAGAAAAAAAGCATTTTATTAAAGAAAAAAAACCCCTGGCATTAAAATAGAACAAAACATTCCACCTCCCACTGCTCTGCGTACCATGAAACACAGTCTACTTCCCTTACACATACATCAGAATAACAATACAGTCTGTACAAAGCTCGTTGCATTCAACGCAACATTAACATCTGAATTTCACTTTTTAAACACCACCTGCTCTGTAGGCAGAGTAAGATTATTGATTAAAAACACATTCCTTATACATTCAGGAAAAGTCACCTAGTATCAGAGTGTTTGTGAGATTCTGATCTTTCCTCTGGGAAAGAAGAAACATCACCAATTTGGCTTCCATTTTCTTTTTACTTACCATCGATATCCGACACAATCAGCATCTGAGGCTGAGATAAACCTTCTTGCAAGTTGTAAAACTGCACGGTGCTGTCAAACGTTATGAACCCTATTCTGGTTCTTGAGTCTCCAGGCAGCCTGAAGCATTAAAAAAGTAATTAAAATTAAAAAAGCCCTAAGTGTCTCTCTCAAGACACGTACACAAAGACAGCTCCTGCTGATGTTAGCAGAAACTCAGCTCAGGCACACTGGGGTGAAGGGAGAACAAAAAGGAGATAAGAAACATGAATACAAGTAATATTTCTTTAGTGTTTTCTGAAAAGCTGGGATATTTAAGGTCCCTTCCAACACAAACAATCTGTGACTATGATAATGATACAGTTTAGAAGATTGAATCATAGAATCATCATAGAATCCCAGAATGGTTTGGGTTGGAAAGGACATTAAAGACCATCTAGTTCCAACGCCCCTGCCATGGGCAGGGACACCTTCCACTAGACCAGGTTGCTCCAAGCCACATCCAGCCTGGCCTTGGACACTTCCAGGGATGGGGCATCCACAGCTTCTCTGGGCAACCTGTCCCAGTGCCTCCCCACCCTCTCTGGGAAGAACTTCTTCCTGATATCTAATCTAAACCTCCCCACTTTCAATTTAAACCCGTTACCCCTTGTCCTGTCACTACAGGCCCTTGGAAAAAGTCCCCTCCAGCTTCCTTGTAGCCCCTTCAGGTACTGGAAGGCTGCAATAAGGTCTCCAAATGTTCCACATAGCACTCACTGATCTACTGATGTTTTGCTCCAAGAGAGAACTTGGTCGGTTCAGTCAACATTACACCGACCTGTGAACGAGAGCAGCCTTTCCAGTTTCTCAGTAGAAAATAGTGCATTCTGCTTATTTGTAATTCAAACTCCCCATTTACTAATGTAGTTACAGGGCAGTTACAGCTCTAAACCAAAACCTACAGACTTTGCATGGGATTTTACCAATTTGTCTAAAATAATTTAGTATGTTTCTGAGAATCTGTTGACAAAATGCCTGTAAAGATCTAACAAAGATTAAACTAAGAAATGTAAGCAAATAATTTTACTATATATGTTGCACAGAATCTTCAGAGTGAGGCCTCCGCAGGCTGATAATTAGTTCTCAACAAACGTGAACACAAAGAAGTTGGTCGACCCTCCCCCAGAACGCACCACCACCATGGTGCTCCACTGCAAAAACCTATTCAGTTAGTTTTGTTGGTCTTGGCGGGGGGGTTGGAACTAGAGGATCTTTAAAGTTCCTTTCCAACCCAAACCATCCGATGATTCTGTGATTTGTACAATCAAACATGGGTACAGCTAAATATTCTTTGCAGAGACACGAGTAAGTTATTTGCAGATCCACTGCATGCAGGGAGGAAGCTCTCGTCATGTAAACTGCTTTGAGAAAGCTGGGGGGGACTTCTTCCAAGGGCAGGGAGGGACAGGACAAGGGGGAGTGGGTTTAAACTGAAAGTGGGAGATTGAGATGGGCCATCAGGAAGGAGTTCTTCCCGCAGAGGGTGGGAGCACTGGGACAGGTTGCCCAGAGAAGCTGTGGATGCCACCTCCCTGGAAGTCTTCAAGTCCAGGCTGGATGAGGCTTTGAGGGAATTGTTCTAGGGAAAAGTGGCCCTGCT